AAATTTAAAAGCAGAAAGTAGTTCCCACATTTCTGTGTTGTTGGATGATTTAAGGCGAGGCTCCAGGTTTGGGATCCTCCATTATTCATAGGTTAGATCTTTATCTGTCTTCTCTATGAGTAACTTTTATTTTTTTCTACTAGTCACTTAAAAATCCTTTTTGTTTATTCCTTTTTGATTAAAAAGTCCTTTGCTACATTTTTCCTAGTGTTTCTTTGCTTTTGAATCACTTCTAGTTCAACTTCTATTTAATAATGAGCTTTCTTTTATTTTGATTTCTCCCCTAAGTTCTATCAGTAATTACTGAGTTTCTCTGAAGCTAACTGGTCTGATTCTTCCATATCACATTTCATGTTCATTTACCTTATTCTATCTTGAAGGATCAGGTTATAGTTTTCATATATTTTGTGCATGTTTTCTGAAGTGTTTGTCTGAAGGGATGTTTTTCTATCTTATTTTTCACGTGCTGGGAAAGATAAAGTGGCATAGCATGTACAAAGTGGCAGAGGACGTTGTTATATCCATCACTACTTGATGCCAAGAGCTTGTGCATGTTCATTTACCTTATTCTATCTTGAAGGATCAGGTTATAGTTTTCATATATTTTGTGCATGTTTTCTGAAGTGTTTGTCTGAAGGGATGTTTTTCTATCTTATTTTTCACGTGCTGGGAAAGATAAAGTGGCATAGCATGTACAAAGTGGCAGAGGACGTTGTTATATCCATCACTACTTGATGCCAAGAGCTTGTGCTTTTCTATAATGTACCAGATAATTTTTCATTCCAAAATCTCATTCCATACAGCATCTTACAACATAGTTTCATTATTGACAAGGAAACTGAGGCTCAGAAAGCAATTGCAGATGGTTGTGGGCGCCTGTGATGATTCCAACAGCTACAACGTACTGGCTCTTCAGATCCTGCTTGACAGCTAGGGTATGCTCCTGGGAAAAGTAGAGGCACCTCCCTCAGCAGCCCTGCTGGAGAAGTAGCAGCCTCCTAATAGCTGGGCAATAATTCCTTTTCCCCGCTTGCTCCTGTAACCCTGTTCTTCCCCTCACTCCAAACCTTTTCAGCCCTTCAACACTTTTGTTTTCAATTCTCTGCATTACATCGCTTTTTATTTATATCAAAAGTTGTCCTCAATGGACACCTTCTGATACCCTTAATTTCTTACATCCTATTCATTGTTTGGTCCACTTAATAAACATTCATGGACTTTGTATTAATGTGACACTTTAAAAAACATTTTGTGTGTATGAGTGTATCACCTGCATGTATGTAAGTGCACCCATGTCATACAACACTTGCAGAGGTCAGAAGAGGACATTGGGTCCCCTGGAACTGGAGTTACAGACAAGTGTAGCTGCCATGTGGGTGCTGGGAATCAAATCTGGGTCTTCTGCAAGAGCAGACAGTGCTCTTAATGACTGAGCCATCTATCCAGCCCCCTAATGTGACATTTTGGAAACAGTAAGAAATAAGACAAAGTCCCTGCTTTTCTGAGGCTTATACACCAGTGATAAGCCAGACAAAAAGAAGGAAATAGCAACAATGGTTTAAGAATATGTAAACATGGGCATGGTGCCTCAGGCCTGTAATCTGCACTGAGGAGGCTGAGGCAGGAGGATTGTGAGCTGAAGGGCAGTCTGAACTACACAGTGAGGCCCTGCCTCAAACATCCCAAAACAACAATATGTTAAGTTCTATAAAAGATAAAAATGGCTTAAACAACAAATCAGTGTCAACTTGTGTAGATTAAGTCAGGAGGTAAAGGCACGTATTCCAGGACTGGTGTGGTTGCTCCAGGTAATCACGTCTCCTTTAGGCTTGGTGGTTCATTTTTCTGTAGTGTGACTCTTCTCGTGGTGTAATATGGTGCTAGTTCTCTACCCACCTTGTCCCAAATCCAGGCAGTTGAATAGAGGAAGGGATTAAGAGGCAAAGACCAGCACTGACTCACTTTAGGGGGTTTTCTGAGGATCTACTTTGCAGTATTTTGATTATGGTATTGGCCTGAACTCAATCACTTGGCCATAGGAGCAAGGGAGGATGGGTATAGGTTCTGTATTACCAACCCACCATACAACTGGGGGTTTCTACTATTGAAAAAAATGGGAGAACAGATACCGAGGTAGACAACTGGTAGTCTGTACCACAGAAACTAAATAAATCATGTCTTTAAATAACCTGAGGTATCTTTGGAAACTTATTTAGACTGTTTCTTTAAAAAAATTATTTGTAAAGCTATTTATTGACCATCTCCTCCAGCCCTTGCCCTGTACTCCACCACTATACTCAGGGTATTGAGTCAGCCTCATGGTAGAGAATTCAGGGTTTTTTTTTTGCTTTTTTTTGTTTGTTTGTTTTGTTTTTGTCTTTTTGGGACAGGGTCTCCTTATAGCCTCAGCTGGCCTGGAACTCACAAAGAAGTCCAGGCTGGCCTTGAATTCACAGAGATCTGCCTACCTCTGCCTCCCGAGTGCTGGGATTAA